GTGCAATGATTTTAGGTTCTCACAATATTCGACTCATCCGGTTTTTCAAAATTCTGAGATTAGTCCAATTCAGAAGGATTTTTTGTTGTGCATTTTTCTTAAGTGAGTCCCACTGGAACATCAAGATGGAAAACAACTTTAAATATCCTGGTTTTACCTTTGACTTTTATGATGCATATCCCTAGTTTGCGTTTTTTCGGCCTTATTCCACGTAGTGAACGATAAAGTGGGGTCATTTAGTAAACCAATATGAAACATTGAACTTGTAAATTTGAAGGAAAAGGGTAGAAAGTTTTCTAAAGCAACTTCAAGTAATTCAGTCCAATTAAATGAGTAAGGTAAATGAAAAAAAATTGGACACCCACCTTGGGGCTCGAACCCAAGACCACAAGGTTAAGAGCCTCGCGCTCTACCAACTGAGCTAGACAGGCAATATTGGGCAAAGTTGCAAATCAATTCTACATACACTGTATATATATATTTTAAAACCCAGGTGGCCAACGCACCGGAGAGCTCTGTGTAGTGTACCAGGTGCCAACCGAGCGGGGAATGGGGTCCTAGCCTCTTGACTTGTCATGGCTTTAGATCAACATGTTAATTAGCATTGCTAATTAGGTTTGTAGTCACAACCAGCCAGTGACTCCACGGTGATGGTCAGGATGAACTATTTCCCCTGCTTGATGGTCAGGACTTGCTTCGTGACGCGGCGGTTCACTCAACATATTCGGCCTGTGACAGGGGCAATGATGCATTGCTTGTATACCACATAGAACGAATGTTTGGTTTTTTTACCGCCCATGTATTGCCGAATCCATCCATCCTACAGCAGTTCCATCCCATATAGCACGAGCACACCGTATGGTACTGGCTACGCTACATACGCTGGCTGATCTTCTATGTGTAGTACTAGTAAAAAAATGGCGGATGCGGCGTCATCCGGCTGATCCGTGCATGGGATCAGCCGGGTGGCCAGCCACTCGATTGGTTCGACCTGTCCATCTTGTGAACCGTCCGATCCACGCGAGTCCGGCCCGTTTTAACTAATGCCCTAAGAGCATTACTAGTAGAACCTTCAAACCCTCAAATCCTTAAAGCACTTTTAAGGGTTGAGAAGTGCCACTTTTTGACACTTTTAAGGGTTCAAAAACAGGGGCAAATACTAGAACCCTCAAACCCAACCCGTAAACTGCTTTAAGGGTTGGATTTGAGGGTTCTAGTCTTTGCCTCAACCCTAACCTTTAAATCTATCATTTGAGAACTCACAATTTATGACAACAAGAACACAATCAACTTCCAAACAAACTACCAAATGACAATCATTGATGCATGGTTTAATAGTTTACATCACAAAATCATCATCTTCCTCCTCTCATCGGCACAATCACCAAAAGTTGCACCTCGGCGCCATCTCCTAGACCACAAGCGGGCTCCATCAAGCATCTCCATCGGCACCGGTGGAGTCGTACACACCGCCATCACCACAACTACTCATCGGAGTGTCACCTCGAAAAGTAGAGGACGCAACACGGAACATCCTCTTCCTCTCCGCGATGTCCTCCTTGTAGTCCTTCCACCATTGCAATTGCTCTTGATCCATGTCCTTCTTGGACATCATCATGTGCTCTTTCTCTTCCACCATGAGTTCTTTCTATACCTTTGCCTCTTTGAGCTTGATCATCCTCTCCTCCAACTCGGCCTTGCGCTTTGCTTCTTCACGTTTTGCTTCAACTTGTGCAAGCTTGACCTCTTTCTTCTTCTCGGTGATTAGAAGCTTCATCTCCAATGTCTTCGTTGTCAATTCCTCTCTTGCCTTCATCATGTGCTCCATCTTCTCCCTTAGGCTTGACGCCTCTTCTTCCATCTTCACCCTTAGCTTGCCCTTCTTGTTTCCCTCGGGCTTGCCCACGTTCCTCTCCTCCTCATCTTCACTATCGTCCATCCTTAGCATTGCCGACTTCTTGGGTGCGGTCCCTTGATCCCTCAACTTCCACTTGTCAAAGGTTTGAAGAATTGGCCAAACATGCTTAAATGGGAATGGCTTGCCCTTGGAAGCGGCCATCTCCTTGTACCTCAAGCCGGCAATTGTCTCCTATCAACCACACATAAATCACATAAGAACCCACCAATAGCATAGTGCAGACACATAATCAAAATAGTGAAGAAATATGTACTCACATAGTCACTCTCCACGGTTCCACTAGGTGGTGCATCCATCACTTGGCCCATGGCCGCACTCCAACGAGAACAAGCGGGCTTGATCAACTCCCACCGGCCTTGAAGCGACCGGTAAGTGCGATGGATGAACCCACTAGTCTTCGGCTTGTTCATACAATAGACGTCCTCGATCCTTTGCCAATAGAGTTTACCGGTTTGATCGGTGCCAGTGGTAGGATCCATTCCCATAGCTGCCCAAGCACGAACCAAGAGGACATCTTCCAGCTCGGTATAGTTTGTCGACCGAGCGTGTGGGCGGGAAGCGGCGGTGAATGCCTCCACCCCTATCTCGGCCACCTCCTCCTCGTCATCCCCTTCATCCTCCTCATCTTCCTCCTTTTCCTCCAAGTCGTCGCCAACCCTAAAGGGGTCTAGAGGCAGAGCTCCGAGGTCCACCTCCGCGTTTTGGAGGAGGTCCATGAACGAGGATGGGGTTGCCATTTCCTCGAGCACCTCGTGCGCGGCGGGAGGAGGCTCGGCGATGGTGGCGGGCGGGGCCGCGGCCGCGGCGGCGGGCTTCTTCCGCAGCTTCTTCACGGCCGGGGACGAGCCGACGACCTTGGCGGCCCCTCGAGGCCCACGGCCGGCCGCCTTCGGCCGGCTCTTCTTGGGGGCGGG